GTGATGGCATGCACCTGTAATCCTAGCTACTCAGGAGGCTGAGGCAGGAGAATCACTTGAACCTGGGTTGTGGAGGTTGCAGTGAGCAGAGATCGAACCACTGTACTTCAGCCTGGGCAACAGAACAAGTGTCTGTTTCAAAACAAAACAAAACAAAATTCACTCAAAATGAAGACTGAAATGTAAGATCTGAGACGATGAAACTACGAGAAAGAAAACAAACACTTCATGACATTGGTTCAGACAAGAATTTTTTTGCATAAGGCCTCAATAAAAAAGACTGAAATCCTGTCATTTGCAACAACAGGGATGAACCTGGAGGACATTATGTTAAGTAAAAAAAAAGCCAGGCACAGAAGGCAAATACTACATGATCTTACACGCGGAATTTTTAAAAGTTGATCACGTAGAAGTAGAGTAGAATACTGGTTACCAGAGTCAGGTGAAAGGTGGGGAGGAGTGGCGGAGGTGGGAGAGGTTGGTTAATAGATACTAGGTTACAGTTAAATGAGAGGAATAATTCTGGTACTCTACTGCAGTGGTCTCAACCTTTTTGGCACCAAGGACCAGTTTCATGCAAGAAAATTTTCAACGGATTTTGAGGGGGGATGGTTTTGGAATGAAATTGTTCCATCTCATATCATTAGTTAGAGTCTCATAAGGAGCACGCAACCTAGACCCTCCCATGTGCAGTTCACCATAGGGTTTGTGCTTCCGTGAGAATCTAATGCGGCTGCTGATCGGACAGGAGGCAGAGCTCAGGTAAGAACGCTTGCCCGCCACTCCTCTCCTGCTCTGTGGCCCAGCTCCTAATAGGCCACAGACTGGTACCAGTTTACAGCCCAGGAGTTGGGGATGCCTGCTCTACTGTACAACAGAGTGATATATGTAACAATAATGTGTTGTATATTTCAAATTAGCTGCAAGAGACGATTTTGAATGTTCTCACCACAAAGAAACGAAAAATGCTTGAGATGATGGATATGCTAGTTATCCTGATCATTATGTAATGTATACGTATAGTGGAATATCACATTGCACCCCATAAATAATATGCACAACTATTATATGTAAGTTAAAAATAAAACAACAACAAAAAAGAAACATAAACACAATATAAATACTAAAAATAACCCACAGAGAACCTACTGCTAAAAGGTGATAAAGAGAAAGATAGAAAAATGCAAGTATATTGACTGGTTATTAACTTAGCAAAGATGCACATCTTTATTCTTACAACTCCTTCTAAGGAATATTAGAAAACGGACAATCTGACCAGGGCCTACTTGAGGGTGGAGGGTGGGAGGAGGGTGCGGATCAAAAATGTATAAATCAGGTACTATGCTTATTACCTGGGTGACGAAATAATATGTACAGCAAACCCCGGCACCATGCATTTTTCCCATGTAACAAACCTGCATGTGTACCCCTGAACCTAAAAGTTGGAAAGAAAAAAAAATAAAAGAAAACGAACAATCTGAGCTAAAATACTCCTTTTTATGGAAAATCCCATTATTTTAATAATTTTATCATTTTTCTGTATTCATTCTCATACTACTTCTAGATTATCTCTAGAGTATAACTATCCCTGATTGATCACTTTATATCAATCTTTTATTACTATTATTATTCATTTGTAGGAACAGGGTCTTGCTCTGTCACACAGCCTGGAGTGTAGGGGTGCAATTATAACTCACCACAGTCTCAAACTTCTGGTCTCAATCAATCTTTCCAGCTCAGCCTCCCCAGTAGCTAGGACTACAGATGCCACACTACCATGCCTTAAAAGATGATTCCTTGTCATTTTTACATGGAATAATTTTACAAATATTTGGTCATACATTTTTATAGTACAGCATCTCAGGTTAATAATACCTTACTGTTTTATAGCATTTTGCAAAGAAGTCTCCTGCATGTTATCTCACATTAAACTCATCATCATATAGAGAATAAATGTGTTGCTCCATTTTACAGATGAGAAAATTGAAGTACATTACACTGATGTAATTGACTTAGACTTATTGACTAAAGTAACATGCATTGTTACAGAAAAATAGAGGTCCTAGTCCAAAGCTATTCCACTAGACATGGGCTATGGTTTGGCTCTGTGTCCCCACCCAAATCTCACGTTGAATTGTAATTCCGAATGTTGGAGGAGGGACCTGGTGGGAGGTGATTGGCTCATGGGGGTGGATTTCCCCCACGCCGTTCTCGTGATAGTGTGTTCTCATGAGATCTGATGGTTTAAAAGAGTGTGGCACTATCCCGTTGCATACTCATGAGCGCGCTCTCTCTCTCCCCCGCCCCCCCACCCCTCCTCATGGTAAGACGTACTTGCTTCCCCTTTGCTGGGAGGCCTCCCAGCCATACTTTCTGTACAGCCTACAGAACTGTGAATCTTTTCTTCACAAATTACCCAGGTCTCAGGTAGTTCTTTACAGCAGTATGAGAACAGACTAATACAACATATAACAGAAATTTGAGGTTTAAAAAGAGTATCTGCCTCTATATCCTCATAATGCAATATTAAAAATAAAGCCTGGACAGATTAGCTGTTATTTCTGGATACTGGTCTTTGCAAGTACTATTTGGGTTATCAAGTATTATCTTGTATTATGTTAATGCTCTCCAAAGTATCGAAGTGTAATCAGATTGCACAAATTATCAAAATATACAAAGATAATAAAGAAAATACATTAGATTTTTAAAAACTATTTATTCATCATTCTGTGACCTTTATAGGATGCCCTATATAAGTCTATGTAGGATGTTCCTGAGCACACATTCTTAAGATTCCCATTGTCTTTAAATCAAGTTACATTTTTCACTATGAACCTGTTGGATTTTTATGTTTAAACTAACAGCCTTTCTAAGGGAAGATTTATCTACCATTTCCCTTACATCTTCCACAGTGTCTAGGCTGGAACCAAAGTTGTTGCTTTTTGACTTCTGTATGGCAACTACTCCTGTGACATACTTTGAAGTTCCTTGTACCCCCACCCCCAATCTGGCCCTGCACCCCTACTGACCCTCATGGCTAAGTCTGAAAACCAAGCAATAAGATAGTCAAGTGGAATCCCCTAAAGCATGGTTCATGAACCACCCTCATCATACATCTGGGTGTCTCTGCAGAATTCTAGGTGCTTCCACAGATCTTCTCAACCCGGTGAAGCTGCATTAACCAGCTCCCCAAGAGAGTATTGTGAACTCTAAAGTTTCATCACCACTCTAATGATAGCACTTTTCAGCTCCTGGAAATGTTAGCAACCTTGCTTGTGAATATGATTCCTGGGCCTGGTCTTCCAAAATAAAAATGGAAGATGGTCCTTGACCTTTGGGAAAAGAGGTAAGACGCAGACTACAAAAATGGCTCAAAACAAAGTCCTTGGCAATTTACTAAGAGAAAATGTTTACCAGTGAGCTGGGAAACAACACCCCCATTTCCGTGAGGCAGTTCCCAAGCAGATGCTTGATCTTAGGGATCCCTGGAGCTGCACCCTCCAAGGTGCTGGCCCTTAGGAACGACATGAACAGCCAGCCCTGCTAAGCGGGACCAGGGAGCAGGTCTGAATGACTAATATTTTTCCAAACTAGAACGTCAAACCGATTAATAACCATTTCCCCTCTAAACCAGGAAATATCAGCATTCCTCTCCCCTTTATGTGCCAGAATCCAAAGATGAACGAAAGAGGCCTGCATCAAGAAAACTGCGTTCAGTTCTCTTGGGTTCAGGGCTTCAACCTGAAGTGGGCTGAATGAATGAAGAGGCTGTTGCCTTGTCAGGAACCTGGGGAATGAAGACACGCCCAGGAAAAGCAGGACCCTGCAGGAATGGACAAAGATCCAGGGCATCGGGATGCGAGAGGGCTGCGAAGAGGGGTTGAAATAAACAACAGACTCATACAAGAAGGATTTCTAATCAGAGGAGAGCGATTGCTTTAATAAAGCTGCAACCTGGAACAATTACAATCTGATCAGATGCTCTTGCAAAATTGGTAAAGCAGAGAATGTGTCAAAATCTTTCCTCCTCCTCCCCTGAGTGCAGTTAACAAAAGGCCAAAGGGCCGGATTCTCAAAGCCCAGATCTGATCACCGCAGATCACAGATCGGGGCCACCCTAAAAGCAATCGGGTGGAATCTTTCCAGCTCCAAGCCTGGGGATGAGGGAGGTGGGGGAAGGTGAAGGAAGGTAGAAGGAGGTGAAGGGAGGTGGGGGGAGATGAAGGGAGGTGAAGGGAGGT